GTAAGACGCACGGGGGCCTTATCGTGATCTGAGATTATCGTCGTGTGCTCGTATTTGTACACAAGACGAGCATGAGCTTCAGTACCCGTTCGGTCGGAGAGGCAAATATAAAAATGCAGAAATTAGCAAGCATTGTACTTGTTGCGTTTTCCCCGATTTTCGCGACTGCGAGAGGTAATAAATTCCCGCCGACGGCAGAAAACACAATAAAACTCTCGAATTTATGCCCTCCTCTAGTAGACGGAAGCAAGGGGTGCTAAACAATGCGTGGCATTTACGGACGCTCTTCATTTCCCTTGTTTGATTTCACGATTAAACTCTCTTCTTTAACAAAGAATTCGGCACACATCCCTATCAGGTGAAAAACCCAGATTTCGTCCTGAAGACCCCTGCGCCCCCGGCGCTTTTGTTAAAAGGTGAACCGATCTCGGCAGACACGCTGAAAACTGCGAAAGGAAGTGGTCATATGGTCGATAATGAGTTGGGTTCCGTGTTTTCGGAGTTTAGTATTCGTCAAGTTCGGAGGATGTTTTTCTGAGTTTATTTTTTGCCGAAAATTCGGAGTTTATCAGTGTTTATTTTTGTTTCATTCCGAATTCTCCAAAATTGGGAGCTCAATTTCGCAGTGTTTCTTATTAAAAGTAAACAAATAACATCCAAACGTAAACGTTTGCTGGACAAAAAAGAAAAAAAAAATGCGATTGTATCAATTAATTTTTTTTTTCAGTTGGATTTGGCGTTGGTGCCATAACGACTGACATTACTAATTTGTCCTACAACAAAAGTGGCACACAAGTGTTATTTTAATAAATGTCGATACCTTAAAATTAATAACCTACTGGAGGTAGTCTCTGGAAGTCTGTATTCATTCCATGCTATTCCATCAACCTACCACACGGCCGCAAGAGGTAGAGGGGAAAAGGATGAAGTAGAGAAGTTTCAACTGTCCTCTCCCCCGCTTTATGTAATTTCTATGGTCCATAGCTTTCACGGTTACAAGAACACAGCCTCTCCTTCCTCTCAGGCACAAATAGTATGACCCAAACCGGAAACATAAACAGTGACTTTTGTCTTGACCCGATAGTACAATGACCTGTTGTCCTGAACGAAATTTGAAAGATATGTGTGGTGGCATTTTCCCAGGACCATTTACCCTACGCGCTGATTAAACCATTAATTGTAATATATATATATGTGTGTGTGTGTGTGTGGCAGATGGGGGGGGGGAGGGGGAGGGGGAGGGGATTGGCACTTCGAAATTCAGAATTTATCAGATAAATCTGAATAGACGAAACCTTTACCGGGTTCTTTTTTGCCAATTTGTCGAAGGCAAACTTGTCGACGGTCAATTTTTCGAATCTGTTCTTTTGGAAACAAGTTCGGAGTGGGGAGTATACTCGATGCGCGCATGACGGTTCCCTGGGCAGTACCGAAGCCCCCCCCCCCCCCCCCCCCCCCCCCGCTGGTGCGTATTCTGTCTATTATGTAGCGTGAGCTAGACTGGCCGAGGTTGAGCAGTTTCGCGTGGCTCGCATAATGAGCCGTGCTTCGTGCTGCGCATGCGCGAGGAGCAGTGACGTCACAAGGCGCACAGCTGGCGCGCCGAGGCCGCCTCCGCGCCCGCCTCGCCGGTCTGCGCATTCCAGAGGAGTGACATCATAGCCGCGGCAGACGCACAGGCGCCACCGCGTGCCCAGCTGTGCGCCTCTGTTGCGCAGTAGCCAAGTCTGACGCTGCACCAGAGCCGCTTGATAGCGCCTCTCCTTTTGTTCGCATAAGCTCATGCTACGTATATCCTGGCATAACCGAGCTAAGCCACCGCAATTTTTTCGAGCAGTTTTGCTCATTTTGAGGCGCAAGTTTGCTGGTGATATCGTCTACAATAAATATTTCAATCGCACGGCAATGCGCTGTCGTTAGCTGTTAAAAGAAAAAAAAAAAAAAACAGAAAGCGTGTGCGGCAACGGTGTGTTCAGCCGATGCTGCAGTGTAAGGCCACAGCATTGAGGCTGCGGCATGTTACTGCTCCACCGGTTTCCACTCGATCAAGGCCTTCGTCCGCAATAATCTGTGAATTTAACTCAAAACCTTACAACTTCTCGCCTGCAAGCTCCAGCCGCGTGTTTCCAGAAGATTTTATTCAAGGCGAATGATCCCCGCAGAATTGGTGCCCATGGTACACCTTGAATACGCTCCACATTAATGTCACCTTATCCTACCGGTTCTATCAGTGCATCTGTAATCGGCGCATCTACCGCTTTTTTTTTTCTTTTTTTTTTTCTGGGGGGGGGGGGGGGGGGAGAGAGGGGACGTTCAACGCTTAGGTGGTAATTACGAAACGATGAGTACTACGGAACCTGACCGGACCGCCACAAACCAGGCAGTTCATAACTTGCACTTAGGGATATTTTTTTTTTGCCAATGACTTTTCCTCTTTCCCTGATACTTCAAAAAAGACCAGACAACGCAGCCAACATCGACGCGAAGGTATCCCCTCTAACTACCCAATCTCTTCAGAGATTAGCGTACTTAAGTAGTAGTAACTACTGCTAACTTTATTTGTTTTTAGCAATCACGCAGCAGCAGCGCTCGGGACACTAACTTTAGTGCGATACCTTCACCGCCAGCGTACAATTTTTTTTTATTGTTTCTCCACTAGCTGCTAAATAATGCCATGCAATGTCCAATCCTTTTTCTTTACGTTCTGTTTTGTTTTCATAAAACGCTACCTATTACAGTCTTTTTACATGCGTGCTGTTTTGTCGTTGTGCTGTTTTGACGCCGTGCTGTTTTGTCGCGTGCTATTTTGACGCGTGCTGTTTTGTCGCCGTGCTGTTTTTACGCTGTGCTGTTTTGACGCGTGCTGTTTTGACCGTGCTGTTTTGTCGCGTGCTGTTTTGTCGTGCGCTGTTCTGTCGCGTTCCCTACTATCATAGGCGGGTGAGGGAACTGTTGGACGACGGATTGGCGGAAGTAACTAACACGGTGCACGATATGTTTAACTACTTGACATGGTTCATGCCGAATCTGGCCAACATATCAAGGCCACTACGTGTGTTGCTTGTGAAAGATAAGGATTTGGTTTTGAATATGTCGCAGCAAAAATGATTCGTTACCTTGGAAGAGCTCATCTCATCCAAGAAATTTCTTGCCAAACTTGATTCAAGGCTACCCACTGTCGTATCAGGCGATGCATCATCGTTTCGCGTCGGCGCGGTTTTAACTCATGTACAGCGAGATCGGCAAAGACACCGCAATGCTTATCCTTGGACGTTCTTTAAATCTCCAATATGGGGAGCGCTATGCGGAAAAAGAAAATAAAGCCTTAGCCCTGACGTGGGTAGCAGAAAGATTTGAAGGCTGTCTAAAAGCGATAGATTTACAATTTAAGACCGATCATAATCGCCACTAGAGCTCGCTAATCTGTCTGGTGTCCCGTTTTGATTTCGAATGTGTATAGTCTAGTGAATTATAACCTGGAATGTTCGAAACTCTGTGTTCAAAGGTCAGAACCAATGATGTCAGAAATTCCTGCTCTACCGTTGCGAAAGTTGGGGCGCCGGTTTGTAATTTTAGAGGTAAAGGTACCTTACGATTCTTGACTATTTGTCCTTCTTTTCACGATTGCACTGCTTCCGTCAGCAAGTTCTCTTGTGTTTGTTACAAAGTTGAAACTTTTTTTTTGTGAGCCATGGCATTCCCCAAGTTTTGATATCGGATAACTGCAGTCGATTTGCTTCTGCGGATTCCAGACATTTCTCAGAAAGCTTTGGGTTGCACCATCTGGCCTCAGGTCCTCGTTACGCATATTGACCGCATGTATGTATTGGAAATAAAGCCATTATATTCTATTCTATTCTACTCTATTCTATTCAGACACTGAAAAGGCTGCTTGAAAAGTCAGCGGGTCTAATCTGGCGCTTTGTCGAAGAGGGACACCCCAGGGACGTGAGAAAAATCCCTTTGTTGCTCATGCGGTGACGCCTGCGTTCTACGCCACCTGCGCACCTGAAAAATGTAAGACCGACACGGCCACACTGATTTAATGGGACACATGAACGAAAAAAATACGTTTTTTAAAAGAAAAATGGGTCACAACTTGTTTGTAATGTTTGCACGAAACAAAATAAATGTTCGGGAAATAATTACGCTGTTACACGCAATGTAGGGTGAGGTCATGGCACACTCTAAGTGCCGCCCATGGATCAGTGACCCTGCTAATTACCGCACTCTAAAAAAATTACCGTATCTCCCCGTGGTGAATGATGTTGATTGGGGCGAAGCTCTGGTGGTGCTGATGATAGTGATTTTGTTCATAGGTAGCATTAATGGTGCTGATTTTTTTTTATTATTGCTCATAGGTAGCGCTGAATTGCGGGTTGCGTTGGACTTCATTATTACTGCTTTATGGTCGGTGAAATGCAGAGCCAGTGGTTCTTCTAGCGGATCAGCTTGGATCCGTTAGAAGCCGTGGGAACGCATCTCCACCGCTTAAGCCAACGGTCCATGTAAGAAAGAGAATGTGTGGTATGGAACGTGGTTATATACGTGTGGTGGCCGCGGAAGAAGAAGAAAACGTCTTCCTCGAGCCCTCGAGACAATGATCATCACGAGGAGATACGGGTTAGAATGACTACAACGCTCACTGCCGTCTGCCCGATTAAATTGTGATATCTATAAAATTGAGTCACATCAAGTGGTGACCCGGACAAAGAACACAGGCCATGCAAGCTGCCGGTGAGCCCCCTTCAGCCATTACTGCCGTGACGGTCAAGCTCCCGCCCTTTTGGCCAGCAGATCCAGGTCTTTGGTTGGCGCACATTGAGTCTCTTTTCGCAACACGCAACATATCACGACAAGAGACAAAAATTCATTACGTAATCAGCGCCCTCCAACCAAGTGAAGCTGGAGAAGCACGGGATATTATTATGAACCCCCCCGCCACTCACCCATACGGCAAGATCAAAGAAGAGCTCATAAAGCGCACGACGGCATCAGAGCAACGACGTCTTCAACAACTTCTCACAACTGAAGAGTTAGGGGACCGCAAGCCATCTCAATTGCTAAGATTGATGCGGCGACTTCTCGGAGATCGGGCAGCTTCCTTCGACGACACCATACTGCGAGAACTCTTTCTGCAACGAATCCCGAGAAACGCGCGCACGATTTTGGCGACGTCCAGCGACATTTCTTTGGATTGCTTAGCCGAGCTCGCGGACAAAATTTTGGATATTGCTGTACCTTCTGTGGCCACTACCGCACTGGTTCCAGTCAGCCCTCAAACGTCAGAAGTTCAGCAACTCCGAGAGGAAGTACGCCACCTCACTCATTTGGTTGAGACAACTCTGCGACTGCCACGCTAACCGAGCCGTCGCAGCACAAACCAGCATCAGACAGATAATTTCTCAACTCGACGAGACAGCCGATCGCCTCGTAGAAATTTCTCTCGCGGCAGCCCACGAGCATCGTCTCCGAACAGTCAAATATGCTGGTACCATCGCAAGTTTGGTAACTACGCACGCCAGTGCCAGAACCCGTGCTCTTTTCAGGGAAACACTCGGACCAACCACTGACGGCGGCCAGTTCAGTTGGCTCGTCCTCCGGCCGCCCCACGTTCTTCTTCGTTTCTGATCGCCAAACACATGTCCGATTTCTAATTGATACAGGAGCAGAAGTCAGTGTTATTCCTGCCACCTCACAAGACCGCAAAATCAAAACTACTACTAACGCTCTGCAAGCAGCCAATGGAACTGCCATCACCACCTACGGTGAGAAATCAGTAACTGTAGATTTCGGACTACGACGTACGCTCCGATGGGTCTTTATAATTGCAAATATTCAATATCCCCTCATTGGAGCTGATTTTCTAACTCATTTCGGTCTGCTGGTGGACATGATGCACCACAAACCGTTAGACGCCACTACTCAAATTGGCGTGCGCGGTGTCGTGTCTAATCCACCACTGCTGAGTCCTACACTCTTCCGTCTGAGGACAAAGACAAACTACGACACCATCATTGGAAACTCTCCCAGCCTGACACAACCATGCAACACGGAGCGACCAGTCAAACGCGATGTGCAACACTTCATCACAACCACCGGGCCTCCCGTGCATGCCCACGCCCGTCGCCTAGCTCCCAAAAAACTGCAAGTGGCACGTCAAGAATTTCAGCACATGATGGACTTGGGACTGATACGACCTTCCTCTAGCAACTGGGCATCTCCGTTACACCTAGTACCAAAGAAAAGTGGTGACTGGAGACCATGCGGAGATTACCGTGCCCTCAACGACAACACAATCCCTGACCGGTACCCAATTCCTCATCTCCAAGACTTCTCTGCAAATCTTTATGGTATGTCGGTATTTTCAAAAATAGATCTTGTCAGAGCATACCATCAAGTGCCCATCGCACCTGACGATATTCCAAAAACAGCAATTGTAACTCCACTTGGCCTCTTCGAATTCGTTCGGATGCCGTTTGGGTTACGTAATGCTGCCCAGACCTTCCAACGGTTCATTGACCAAGTTCTCAGAGGACTCGACTTCTGCTTCGCTTATCTGGATGATATTCTAGTGGCCAGCGCATCCAACGAAGAACACGAACGACACCTATATCAACTATTCAAACGTTTAGATGAACATGGCGTCGTTATTATTATCGCAAAATGTGAATTCGGGGTACCAACTCTAGAGTTTTTAGGCCACCATGTTGACAATCAGGGGCTTCGACCACTCGACAACAAGGTGAAAGCTATTCGCGACTATCCAACACCGTCCAGCATACGGCAGCTGAGAGAGTTTCTCGGACTGGTAAATTTTTAACGCCGCTTCATTCCCGGTTGCGCGGAAATCGTCCAACCGCTGAATGATTTATTGGTTGGCCCAAGAGATTCCAAACCTCCATTCACGTGGCCTGATTCAGCCTCAGCCGCATTCAGCACCATTAAGACTGCGATTGCCAACGCCACCTTGCTAGTGTACCCTAAGCCTGAAGCACCGACCAATATTATGGTAGATGCTTCTGGTACAGCCGTCGGAGCAGTACTACAACAATACATGAGTGGACAATGGAAACCTCTCGCTTTCTTCTCAAAAAAATTAACTGCGACAGAAAACCGCTACAGCGCATTTGGGCGTGAACTTCTTGCCACTTACCTCAGCGTCAAACATTTCCGTTATTTCGTTGAAGGTCGCACATTTTTTATCCTCACGGATCACAAACCACTGACATTTGCCATAACATCGAACGGCAATGCTTATACACCTAGAGAACAAAGGCAGTTGGCATTCATCAGTGAATTCACGGCCGACATCCGGCACATCAAAGGGAAGCACGACGTGGTTGCTGATGCGTTATCACGAGTGGAGATTGCTGCTTTGAAGCTACCGGGCGTCGAACAGATTGATTTTCCGGCTATTGCAAAACACCAACTCCAGGACACTGGGTAACAAGGTACATCTCCGCACCTAAAGAAAACAAACATACCGTACACAGATATTTCACTCCTGTGTGATTTTTCAACGGGAACAGCACGACCCTATATTCCACCCGCATTCCGCAAGAAAATCTTCGATGCCCTACCCGGACTGTCCCATTCCTGAATACGAGCTACGCAGAAACTTATCAGCACCCGTTTTGTCTGGCCAAAGATGAATACAGATATCCGAACGTGGTCAAGATCATGTACAACTTGTCAAAAATCAAAGGTTCATCGTCATACCATAACGCCATTCGCGAAATTTCCACAAGTTACGGGACGTTTTGAGCATGTTCATCTAGATTTGGTCGGTCCATTACCTCATTCCAACGGCTTCACATACCTCTTAACATGTGTGGATCGTTTTACACGCTGGCCCGAGGCAGTCCCGATTCCCGACATGACAGCTGCAACAGTTGCCCAAGCTTTCGTCACAGGGTGGATTGCCCGTTTTGGAGTACCATCAATAGTCACTACGGACCGCGGACGACAGCTCGAGTCGCACCTTTTTGCTGAACTGATGCGACTCCTTGGCATCAAACGCCTTCGCACAACGGCGTACCATCCTGCCGCAAATGGAATAGTTGAACGATTTCACCGCCAACTAAAATCATCACTGCGTGCTCACAGCTTCATCCCCTGGACTGAAGCGCTACCCATTGCTCTACAAGGAATTCGTTCCACGCTCAAAGTGGACATTGGGGTCTCTACTGCTGAGCTTGTCTACGGCACTACGCTACGTCTACCTGGCGAATTTCTTCACAACACGTCACATGATGTGCCCACGTGTGCCCAGCATTTTACAAACTATGCTCACAGTCTCAGACAACATTTCAGACAACTTCGCACATGTGCACCACGAGAGATTAAGAACAGCCCTTCCTTCATCAGCCCCGACCTTGACACCTGCACTCATGTTTTTGTTCGCATCGATAGAACAAAGAAGCCACTTGAACAGCCATACCAAGGTCCTTTCAAGGTCCTCAACCAAAAGTCGAAGTTCTTCACCATTGACATGGGCGACCGCCATGAAACCATCTCTACTGATAGATTGAAACCTGCTTATACAGACGAATGCAGCTACAAACAATACTTTAACAGAAACAAACCAGCAAGTCGGTTACAACCATCGCATTCGGTGAAACGCAACTTGCATGTGCATTGGGATTAACACTTAACAATTTTTCTAGCGGTGTAAATAATTGTACATATTCCTTATGGCAGTGTCCAGTGCCAAAATATTTAGTTGCAATGTATGTGTCTAGCATATAACTTCGTTTCTACCGAGGGGAGTATCTGTGGTGGCTGCGGAAGAAGAAGAAAACGTCTTCCTCGAGCCCTCGGGACAATGATCATCACGAGGAGACACGGGTTAGAATGACTACAATGCTCACTGACGTCTCCACGATTAAATTGTCATATCTATAAAATTGAGTCACATCATACGCATTTCAGCATTTGACCGCTGCGCCCTCTCGTCTATAAACGTTGAGCCAATGCCTGCAAAGTTTAACGCGATTATATACGCATTTGACCGCAGCGCCTTCTCCTGTATAGACGTTGAGCGGCTACATACAACGTTTCATCCATGACAGAAACCCCAGCTCTTGAGTTACTACCACATCTCAGAGCCCCCTACTCGTCCCGCAGTCGTAGTCGAGTGGTTAAGGCGATGGACTAGAAATCCATTGGGGTCTCCCCGCACAGGTTCGAATCCTGTCGACTGCGCAAATATTTTTTCTTTTGAAGACAGATGGGATGGCAATCAATGTGAGCACGGACGCCGGACGGACAAGGCTAGACCCTAAGGAGCTTCGCCCCTAAAAAAAAAAAGCTTTGTAACAATTATACCTTTTGTTACATATACTATACACCAAAACTTCAGCTCAACGTGCAGCGCCCTGATGTCGAAGTGACAACCCCAACTTTTACGAGAGGCTTGATTACGGTGCGATATACCATAATAAACACTTAAAGTACGTATCACAATATAGAGAAAAAAACTCTGGTATTTGCAATCAGGCCACAAAAAAAAAACGATTACTTCATTTTCACTAAGTCATACGTGCATTAGCAATAAAAAAAAACAAAAAAAAAAAAAAAAAAAAAAAAACGTTGTACACCTGGGCTATCAAGCCGCTCCTGAATGTTGGTACCGTCGGTCCGACGTCATAACGATATACGCTGTACGATTATCTTGGCTGGTCGGGTGAACACGCTAACAAGACTACTGTGTCCCTTTCGCGACATCCGGTGCGTCTAGCCTGGCATCTGGCACAACTCGTCATTCGTTGGAGAAGGCGCGCGGCAGCCTCCAGCATCGTCTGTTATTCCAACAGCGTCTGTCTTCGTCTGTAATGGTCGTGACACGCGGACACGGAAGCTCCCCGTCGGAGTCCGTTTTCGCCTTCGTCCCTCCAAATCTTCAGCAACGCTCCCAAGACGCGACCATAAAAGCGCTGTTCAAGCATTTCCTCATGCAAGAGCCACGGTCTAATATATGCGTCTGTCAGCGTGTGTAGATTTGGGGTAAAAAGTGATCATGAGGAGTAAAAAGAACCAACTAAATAAATACTGTAAACGACTAAATTTTCGCGAGGACCTATTTTTTGCGAATTTCGCGAATCGCCTACAATTCACAAAAAATACGTCCCGGGAACAATCCGGACAATATGTGAACGCTACGGAAGCTACACTTGTTTCGCGAAAATTAGAACCCGCGAATAATTTCGAATTTTGAGCTTTGGCCCGATTCGCGAAATTTTGAGCCCGCGAAAATTAAGTCGTTTACAGTATGCAGTCATTCCAGCTTTTCTGTTCTTGTTATTTTTTTCGCGCGGAATTCGGGACTAAGGTGAGTCAGCGCTCTGATTCACAATTAAAACGTGACCTAAAAATATTTACTTTGGAATGCCAGGTGAACTGTAAATATTTAGCTACTTGACTTTCGAAGTGAAACGATGGGAGCATACTTGAGAAATTTGATGCGTTCCTATCGCACCATCGCTTCCTGCCAAACGGCTCACAAGTGCTTACCTGTGTAAATATCGGCTCGGTATTG